TCCAGCCCGAGTCGTTCGGGTCAAGGGCCCTCGTTCGTATGAGGTCTCCAGCGAGGATGGCCAGATCCTCCACCGGCACATTGATCAGCTGCGCCGCCGCACACTACCGCTGGACCCAGAGGATCCGGACGAGGACCCGGAGCCTTCCCCATCGGCCCCGCTTCCGGAACCAGACCCACAGCCGCTATCCCGGAAGGAATCCGAGACCCCTCGCCCCGAGGGACCAGCCAGTCCATCCTCCTCTGACCCCTCGCCGGGCCCGGTCCACTCGGCCCCAAGGGCCCCCGAGACAGAACCCATAGCCACCCCCGAACCTCGCCGCTCGACTCGCCCCAGGAAGCCACCAGCACACCTGAAGGACTTCGTCTGTGGGTGCATTGTGAACCAAGGGGGGAGGGGTGTAATGTATTCAGCCTGACATGCCCGGACTTGCCCGGGCTGGCCAGGCACAATTCCGATGTAGCTTCAGTCGAAAGACAAAGGATCCGAAGGATCCTAGCCGGCCCAATCAAAAGGGCTAGCTTCCCAGCTGGGAGACCAATGGTCGCCCGGTTACTGTAAATAGCCTATCGGGAGTAGGGGGTGTGTTTAGGTGTGCTTGGTGGCGGGTTTTCTGAATGCATATAAACCGGCCTGCGAGCTGGTCAGTTGTCTTTGTCCTGAACTAAATAAAGTATGCTTAGCTGAAATCACTCTCCGTCTGCATACTTTTCAACATTACAAGAGCATTTAAGCTGAAAATAGCAGCATGCCCCACAGGCTTGAGATGTGACATGCTCACGCAGCTCCTACATCCGCAAGAGCGTCACCATTCACAGCAGTGTTGTTGAGGACCACGTATATCTCCAACTGCATGCACAGAGCAACCAGTGGAAACCTATTGGAATCAGTTTCTAAGTAAATGAGGCTTGGGACAGAGGTATTGCCACCTGGAGTGGGCATATGCTGCAGAAATGAATTCCATTGAAACCTGCACCTAAACAGAATCTATGGACTAGGCCGCCTTTCAGTAAAATGGGAATCATGGCATGTACTTCAGACAGCCATGTCACATACACACATCCTAAAAATACTGACACAAAAAATGCATTCAAGTAATCAATGGCCAAAGGGATCTCCCAAGCAGGTAATTCAACAAATCAGCTTAACTCTTCCTTGCATTGAGAACAGATGCGGTGCAGAGGTTAGAGTGTCAGATTAGAAGTTGGAAGACCCAAGTTCAAATCTCCACTTTGCTGTGAAGAAATGTGGGTGACTTCAGGCCAGTCATATACTCTGAGAGCTGATTCACACGTTCCAACGTCCTCATGATATAAGCATTGACTTCCAGGCCTGGAACTGATTTGGATCAGAAGAGTGTCACATGGGAAAGGGGGATCTACCACTATTCCCCGTTCCATTTTTTTCCAACCTGGAATACCCTCGGGGAGATGCTATTTGCCTGGAGGAGATTACGCGTACAGAAGGGCTAGGCATAAGTTTCCTCAGTGGGGCAAATAGCCTAACCTGCCTCACACAGTTGTCATGATGCTAAAATGGGGAAGGGAGAATCATGCACATTTTGCCTTGACTTCCTCAGAGGGAAGGTGAGATAAAAGTATACTATCTAAACTGCACAGTAAATGCTAATTCAAAAAAACCCAAAAAAACGCTCAGTTGTATTTTTGTTCGCAGTGTACTCCTCACATTTACTAACCTGTTCTGAATGCCAGTGACATCATTTTTAACACGTGCAAAAATAAGTCCAATGATTATTCCCAGAACAGTTGTAATAAAGATCTAGGAAGGAAAAGAAATCGAATTAACAAGATGCCTTCCTTTGGGGAAGGAAGAAAAAAAAGGCAACACTTAAAAATGCACGTAACATGTGAAATCATCACAACCGGCATCTATTCCTTTGGCTACTATGAGCACTAACCCTCTGAAAAGGTTTAACACAGGTTAACCTTATGCTGAGTCAGACCATTGGTCTATCACGGGCTGTGGTCACACACACTAAATAATCCACTTTCAATCCACTCTCAGTGCACTTTCCCACTGGATTTTAACTGTGTGAACTGGCAGAACCCAGTTGGAAAGTGGACTGGAAGTGGATTATTTCGTGTGTGTGTGTGACCGCAGCCATGGTCAGCATTGTCTCCGCTGACGGGCAGCGGCGCTCCAGGGTCTCAGGCTGAGGTCTTTCCAGGGCTTTTTTTGTAGAAAAAGCCCAGCAGGAACTCATTAGCATAATTTATTTTTTATTTATTTATTATTTAGATTTTTATCCCGCCCTCCCACACCCAACAGCAGAAACTCATTCGCCTATTAGGTCACACCCCTGACAGTGCAGCTCATTAGCATATTAGGCCACACCCCCATGTTACCAGAAGTGTGGTCGTCCAGCCACACCCACCTTTCGCTTGTTATTCTGTTTACCTTGTTTGTTGTCAAAACCCAGGGCCTTTTTTTGTAGCAGGAACTCCTTTGCATGTTAGGCCACACACCCCTAATGACGCCAATCCTAATGAGTTCCTGCTGTTGGGTGTGGCCTATTATGCTAATGAGTTCCTGCTGGGCGTGGCCAACTCGGGAGCCAACCGGAACTCCGTTCCTGTGCGTTCCTGCCCAAAAATAGCCCCTGGGTCTTTCACACCACCCACTACCAGCTCCTTTTAGTTGGAGATGCTGGGGATCGAACCTGGGACCTTCTTAATGCGATGCAGATGCTCCACCACTGAGCTGGGGCCCCTCTTCTTTTGGGGAGTGGAATGTGTGGTGATGCACCATACGGCCAACAGCTGTTTTCATGGCTGGAGTCTAACATAGTGGAAATCAATCTAGGGTTGACTATTCTCAGGCTCAGCACCCTCTGTAGATGAGAGATGGGACACTGGGGGCAGTCTGCCCTTGCCTAGTCAGAGCAGCACCTCTGCCTGCCTGGCTTCAGGATCCAGCGTCTAGTTCCTGTCCCTGATAGGGCTGCCGGTGCCACCCTCCCGGTGGAGCCTGAAGATCTCACGAAGGCTGCGGTCACACACACTAAATAATCCACTTTCAAACCACTTTCAGACTGGATTTTCACTGTGTGAACTGGCCAAATCCAGTTGGAAAGTCCACTGAAAATGGATTATTTAGAATTACAATGAATCGCCAGACAACAGAGATCAGTTCCTCTGGAGGAGAAGGTTGGGGGTGCAGGCTGTGGAAGGTCGGTAGTTCAGCAGTTCGAGACCCGGGTGCCCCATGACGGAGTGAGCTCCCATCTCTAGTTCCAGCTCCTGCCAACCTAGCAGTTCGAAAGCAAGAAATTGCAGGTAGAAAAATAGGTACCACTTCAGTGGGAAGGTAACAGCGTTCCGTGCGCCTTGGTGTTTAGTCATGCCGGCCACATGACCACGGAAACGTCTTCGGACAGTGCTGGCTCTTCGGCTTTGAAACAGAGATGAGCACCGCAACCCTAGAGTCGGATTCGACTGGCTTTCGAGCAAGGGAACCTTTACCTTTACTTTATGGACTCTATTGGTTGTTTTCCAGTGACTCTCGGAAGCTCATACCCCCAAATCGTGTTGGTAGGGTTGCCAGCTCCTTGTTGGGAAATACCTGGAGATTTGGGGGATGCAGCCTGAGGAGGGAAGGGGAGGAACTTCAAGAGGTAAAAAAAGGAAGAGAGACGGGGCACCTCCGAAAACATAAAGATCAGTTCTAAACCCTTTTTATCTTCATAATGTAATGTGTTATTTGAGGTGTTAGAGGAGTTGTGCAGATACCGTGGACTGCCAAAAAGACAAATGAGTGGGTTCTAGCTCAAATCAAGTCTGAATTCTCCCTAGAAGCTAAAATGACTAAACTGAGGCTATCATACTTTGGTCACATTATGAATCATAGAACCATCGAATCATAAAACCACAGTTGGAAGGGACCTCCAGGGTCATCTAGTCCATCCCCCTGCACAATGCAGGAGATTCACAAATACCTCCCCCTCCACACCCGCAGTGACCGCTGTTCCATGCCCAGAAGATGACAAAAAAACCCTCCAGGATTGCTTCCTGACCCCAAAGTGGCAATCAGTATTTCCCCGGGCGTGTAAAAAAGGGCCACAAGAACTGCCTGAGTTCACCGAATCCACATTGCTGTCAGATGGCCATCTAACCTCTGTTTGAAAACCTCGAAAGAAGGGAAGTCCACCACTTCCCGTGGAAGCCTGTTCCACTGAAGAACCGCACTGTCAGGAAGAGGAAGTTGTTCCTAATGTTTAGCTGAAAACTCTTCTGATTTATTTTCAACCCGTTGGTTCTGGTCCAACCTTCTGGGGCAACAGAAAACAACTCCACACCATCCTCTAGATGACAGCCCTTCAAGTACTTGAAGGTGGTTATCATATCACCTCTCAGTCGTCTCCTCTCCAGGCTAAATATACCCAGCTCCTTTAACCTTTCCTCATAGGACTTGGTCTCCAGATAATAATGCTCAATAATAATGCTTCATAAAGATAATAATGCTCAATAAAGTTGCAGGCAGCAGGAAAAGAGGCAAACCCAACAGGAGATGGATGGACTCCATCAAGGAAGCCGCAGCCCTCAGTCTGCAAGACCTGAGAAAGGCTATTAACGAGAGAACGTTTTGGAGGTCATTCATTCATAGAGTCGTTTTATGTAGTGGGTTAGCCGCATGGAAGAACTACCGAGGCACACATAATACACGGCACACTTTATTGGCACACAACACGAACACAAACCAACAGCCGACCGGCCGCTTATATACAGTCTGGGGAACCCCTACGGAATCCCATTGGCCCATTCAAACCTCCCACCAATGTCCCATTGGTTCCCCTAGCGGCAGGGTGCAGGAACCTAGTCCTCATTGTTCTTTGGACTCAAGCTCCGCTGTATCGCGGGCGCCCAGTGGCAGTCCGCGTACATAACAAGTCGCCATGAGTTGGAAGCAACTTGACAGCACTTAACAGACACAATGTAATGTGTTTAAAAAAGCTTCAAGTTTTAGCTTGAGCTCAAAAAAGATCAAATTATCCAAATATCTGAAAAAGTAAAATTCCAAAGAAATATGTTCTACAGCTTGCTGAATTTCAGAATAAGACCCATCTTATTTGTTGTATAAAATTGACTTAATTGACAGTAATCAAATTATACTGGATTCTACACTATTTAAAAAAGAAGGAAAAGTGACGGAAATCTCAGAGAAGATGATGGTAACAGGCTGTTCAGCACTGTATAAGGCAAGAGGGATTGCATGAATCTTAACACCAAAATGCACTTGCTGACATGGTACCACAGAGCAAAGGACCTGTTGAAAGGACCAAATGTCAGGGATAATTCTGCTGCTAAGCCAATTGAAGTGGGAAACAGAGATCACATCAAGACCAATTTAAGCAGATTGGCAAACAGGGCTTAATGAAATGTGGGGTCTTTCAAGACTGCATTGCAAATCCACCCCTAATGAGGTTAGGGAGATATGAATTGTTGTGAGAAAAAAGGCAGGGCCATTAACATTGGGCATTTGTAAAGCTCTTAAGGCCATAATCCTTGTCACAAGGTCAAGCTTTTACAAAGCAATTAATAGAGATCCCAATAATATCAAGATACACAAAAAGCCTTTAACTTCACACACTCTGAAGAGGCAACCAACTCTCCCTTGGTGCTTTGCTTTTGAACCATTGCAGATTTTGTAAAGCACATGTAATCAGAAGGACTAGGTGTGGTGCAAACTGTGGCACACACACAATTTGCCAGGCCAACTTTGCCCGGCAACCTCGTGATTGGATTGCCTTGACAGTTGTTGTCGAAGTTCATGCTGAACAGCTTTGAGCTTGTGCGGTAGCCATGTATTCTACAGGACCTAATCACTGAAGCTTCAGTTGTCTGCTTCTGCTTGTCACAGTTGCCAAAAGACCAGCAATATTGCACCATTACACTATTTCTGCCATTAGGTAAAAAATGCCTAGTGTAATGTTATAATGCGAGTTGCCTCAAAATGGGGAGGAAGTTATGGAGGTATACCTCTGCTGACATCAGTAAACAGAAGGTGGGCTACAAATTCATTAGCACAACAAGCAGACATGGAAGGCACATAGAGATACCTAAATAGTAAGTTTCAATTCAAATAGATTTAGTATCATAGAACCATAGAAAGAGTTGGAAGGGACCTTGCAGGTCTTCTAGTCCAACCCCCTGCACTCTGCAGGAGCATAGCCGAAAGATAGCCCTACAACATACCCAAAAGATGGTCGTCCAGACTCCACTTGAAAACATCCAGTGAAGGAGCATCCACCACCTCCCAAGGCAGTCTGTTCCACTGCTCAACCACTCTTACAGTTAGGAAGTTTCTCCTGATATTTAGCTGGTAACTACTCTCTTGTAATTTCCACCCATTAGATCTAGTCTTGCAATCCGGACCAAGAGAGAATAGATCTGTTCCATCTTCTACATGACAGCCCTTCAAATACTTGAAGACTGCAATCATGTCCCCTCTAAGCCTTCTCTTTCCCAGGCTAAACATACCCAACTCATATGCCCGTGGCCCCGCCCCCAGCGTGCCTGGCGTCCTCCCGTCACTTTCGGGTGACGTGCGTGTGGCGCGCACACGCACAAGACGCCGGCCGGGAGCCCCCCGCTCCCGGCGAAGATAAACTTGGCAACCCTAACACAGGACTTTCAACTGTGTTTTGAAAAATCAAAAATAGAGGAAGGCAAGTGGTGAGGGGGAGGTAGATGCTGTGAAAAATAATCAGAAAACAGCATAATCATGCAAAAAAGACACAAACTGAATCCCTTTCAACACTT